GGGGGTGGGCACTGTGGTGACCGGGGGATGCAGGCCCCACCTACAGGGAGCAACTCCGCCCCCTGCCCCCCAAGCATCTAACTGACCACTGTCTCATGGGATCCTGGAATGCGAGTCCTAGTTCTGAATGTTCAAGAAAAGTCAGAATCTGGATTTTTTGTTTTTACATGAAATCACTTGATTCTAACATTTTGGCTGAATTTTAAAGAGTGTGCTGGTCTAGTGAACCCTATCTGTGGGCTAGCTCTGGGCCGTAGGCCCCATTTCTGACTTCTGCTTTAAAGCAGCAAAGTACCTCCATCTATGAATGGTTCCTTAACTCAACTTATGATCTGAAAGAAACATCGGGTCAGCATTACTAAGATGTTAGCGTCAACCCAACTCCCTAAGAATCCATGAAATGTCGTACTGAGTCGTATCAATGGTCCAATCAGCTTAATATTTTGTTTCTCAGAGTGGCACCAAGGGACCCTTTGGAGAGATTTAGAGCTTAATCTCTATGGCTCCACCCTCTGCAAGATAGGATAGAAGAGTCTAAGAAGCATTTCTAAATGATTTTCTTCTATTTATGAATGTACGCATTTTTTTATTGTGCTGAGTAGATTTATATGAAATTGCTATTTCAACATTTTTTACATGTACAATTCAGTGACATTATTTTCATCACGTTGTGCAATGATCACCGCTACCTGTTTCCAAATTTTTCCATCAACCTTAACATAAGTTCAAAAAAAGAAAAAAAACCATTGCCGTTGAGTCCGTTCCAACTCTTAGCAACCCTATAGGACAGAGTAGAACTGCCCCATAGGGTTTCCAAGGAGCGCCTGGTGGATTCAAACTGCCAACCTTTTGGTTAGCAGTCATAGCTGTTAACCACTGTGCCACCACGGTTTCTTCAGTGCCCCTCAAACAATGACTCTGTCCGTCCCCCTCCCTCCGCCCCTGGTAACCACTAGTAGACTCTGGTATCTATACATTTGCCCATTGTAGATAGTTCATATAAGTGGAATTACACAGTATTTGTCCTTTTGTGATTTCTTCTTTTCTTATTTATAAAATATTTCAAGTGTAGAGAATAATAGAATAAACAACTCACCTGCTTATCAAACTTAACATTTGATCATAGTTGCTTCTGACATATTTTTTAATTTTACCATAAAATCTGGATAACTGTTGATGCTCCTGGTACCACTTCATCCCCAGAGGTAAACATTATCCTACACTTCATGTTGATCATTTCCATGCATGTTTCGCTAGCTTGGAAAAAGTGTAAATATTCCATTCATTAGCTCGGTTTAAAAACCTGAAGTATTTTCAGGTTTAGCCACAACCTACACAACATCTTAAGTTGTGGAAAAAGCAAATCCAGACGTCAGGAGTTATTTCATCTTTCCACAGATAAACTTTCCTCCTGGGATAACGATCTTTGTCCTATCCACCCAAGTAGCTTGGGATGACAATAAAGTACGATGATGTGGATGAATGTTCTTTGGAAAAAGATGAAGTGTTATACATATGCAAGGCTCTAGCACTTTTATTAACGAATCCCTTATGTGTATGACTTCACAAAGTAGCAGTTTATTTTATTTGACCTCAGACAAAGTCGAGGGAGTGGTCCTTGCTCCTTCTGAACAAATCCTTTCCTTCACAGCTTGATTTCATGAACTTTGACAAAGAGCTAGAATTGTTTTATTCTCTTCCAATAGGAAAAGTATTCTATTACAATATTTGTAATTGCCCTTCTAAGCCTTTTTTAAGTCTGTTATATGTTTCTGGAGGCACAGTAGCCAAAATTGCCTGCTGTATTACAGGTGCAAATTCTTACAAGTATGGCACAAGCAAAGACTTATTCAAGCACTTGGCAAACAGAATTACATTTAAATAGAAAACAAAACCCGACTGTAGTCTAGGGCAGTGAGCTTCAAGAAGGATTATAAGAACATCATTATACAAGGATGAGCTGAAGTCCCCATCATGTAGTACCCACTACCACAGCCTGAGTTTTCTGTCGCGAAAAGAGGCCTTCTCTGAATTTTTACCCATGCTTCACTGTGGTTCATTCTCATCTTTATTATTATTTTTTTTAATAATATTTTACTGTGTTTTTGGTGAAGGTTTACACAGCTGTTTAGGTTCCCATTCAACAATCCTTACACAAGTCGTGCAGTGGCACTGGTTACATTCTTCATAGTGCGTGAACATTCTTACTATTTCCATTCTGGTTGTTCCATTGGATCACTGTCATCTTGTTCTGTCAAACACGTAATAAAGGCTAGATGAGTGGAACCTCATCTTAAGCTTCTGTTCTCTCTCAGAACCTAGAACATTATTACGCATTTACAGGTTGTTTTTAGGAGGGGCTCAATAAATGTTTGTTGATGGGCTGATTCATGGAAGGGGTGATGGCTGAAAGTGCAGCTGTAGACACCTAACCCTAACAGGTCCTTGTCTCACCACAAGCTACACAGCCTCTCGAGGCATAAAGTGAGGAGAGTAACAGTAACTGCTTCAGAGCATTACTGTGAAGACTGAATGAGCTAATGCTCAGCACGGTAGTTGACTAAAAAAAAAAACCAAGGAAGCAGATAAAGGCAAGTATATTGGGAATGCCTGGATTACTGAGCCTCGTCTAAACCCTTCACTGCTATATCCATGCATCTCAGATCGAAGCTCCCAGTTGCTGCTGAGTCAATTCTGACTCATGGTGACCCGTGTGTGTCAGAGTAGAACTGTGCTCCATAGGGGATAGAAGGCTGTGCCCTCTCAGAAGCAGATTGCCAGGCCTTTCTTCTGAGGTGTCTCTGGGTGGGTTCATACCTCCAACCTTTCATTTAGTAGTCCAGCACTTAACTGTCGGCACCACCCAGGGTTTCCTAAATGGAAGCTAGTACGTAGTAATTATTCTGCAAATGTATATACTAAATGAGCATATTAACTACAGGAGCAAAGGTAAAGTTTTGAATTGTTACAAATTAAATTTATCAATCAGTTCCCTAAATTATTTTAAAGACAAGTGCTCTATCCTGAAGAGGTACATCAAGACAGATTCCTGTACTCATTTCTGGGAGTTGTGTTAGATTTTCTAGAGTCCTGTGGATTCATGGGAAGTTTATTTAGCACCTACTATATTCTTAGCACAGTCCTGGGCACTGGAGATTGTAACATAAATAAAACACTGCCTTGCCCTCTAGCTGCTCTCAGTCAAGTGGAAGAGACAGCCTTGAAAGTGCATGGGGGAATACAGGTGACGCTGGAGATCAGTCCAGGGTTTGGAGGTGTGCAAAGGAAAGTTCCACCAATGCTGGTGGAGGGGAGGTTGGTTTTGGGGAGGGAACAACCCTCAGGTGAGACATCTGAACTGGTCATGAAAGACAGGGCTTCTCCAGGAGGAAAAGGGGGAAAAGGCATAGGGAATGAGGTGTGCAAAGGTATGAAATAGGGGTGAGGGAGATGATATGTCTGACACCTTCAGGAATGGGTGTTTTCCATGGAGCACAAGGTGGTGTAGGGGAAAGCCAGGGGCCACAGGGTCCAGAGTTCATTTGCCCACAGAAGAGACGAGGCTTAATCCTCTCGGCAAAGGGAATCCATGGAAGGGTTTTAAACAGAGAAGTATCCTGGTCAGATACTTGAAATACAACGCTGGCAACAAGACGAGAGGGAAGGGGTTGGACAGGTGATTACCGATTAAGGTAAAACTGGGAAGATGGGAAGGTCTGAAGATTTCGGCTGCAGCGAAATGGACGAAGGTGAGAGATGGTTATGGAAAGTGAATTCAAATGTGTTTACTTCATTTTCCTTGCTCTGTAAGTGAACAAAAACATTTAAGCCACTAGCCGCATTCATAATAAAGCCATACGCGAAAGACCATTCATTCTGGCATGTCAAAAATCCGTACTTTTGTTTAAAATGTGAAATGAGAGAGAGCAGACTCTGCAAATCAACTTCAAGAATAATCACACTTGGTGGCTTTTAGAGCATCTGCTTCCAGCTGAACCCAAGGAGTTATCTTTGTTGAGATTCCACGGTTGGGTTTCACACTGAACATCAAAGTCCCCTTCATGCAGATCAAATCCCAGCATGGAGGGTTTTATTCTCAAGAACCATAGCCAGAGGAGCTGGCTAAAGAGGCCCAGGGCACTCTGCTAGCATTGAGTCTAAAGATGTTACTAATGGTCAAGTTCAATGACACGGGAAGCCTGCAAGCCTAGGGATTTGGTACCAGGAATGGAAATGAAGAGTGATGGTGAAAACGTGTAAGGACAAGCTTTTGTCTGTCCTGCTGGAGAGAACCCGTTACAAGACCTTGATCCCAGGCTTCCGGATAAGGCCCTAGGGCTGGCCATTAAAGAAGGTCAGCAGATGAGAAATCCAATCAAATGATACAGGAGTAATTCAGACTGACCAGATTCCGCACTGATATCTAAGTGCTCTAGAATTAACCCAGGTGAGCTAATTCTTCAGAAAAACATCATAGCTGAGGTGGTAGTAGGTGAGTTAGTATCAAAAGGTTTGTAAAAACACTGTAATTTTCAATTAGGTCGCAGTTACTAGAAGCTGTGAATAAGTAATCCACTGTGATGATAATAACGACTAAGTTCCTTAAGTATCTATCTTCATGTACATTGCGTAGAATCATAGTCATAACTTTATACTCTTTGAAACAGTTTTGCACAAATATTTTTACACTTTCCTGGCCAAGAGTTTCCAAGGTACACAACCAAATCCTTGGCTTCTAGAATTCTGTATTTACTCTCTCCTATTCTCCTAAGCCCCTCCCCAGACTGTTTAAAAGCTTAAGATCCCAAAAGTAATGCTGTAAGACTAACAAAATGCCCTATAATCAATACAAGCTTATTTTCTAAACTAGCTGGTTGGCCAAGTTACTATAACTAAGGGCAAGAAACAAAAATGCTCTTTGCCTATTACGTGTGAGGGTGAGGTACTGTCAGTCATTGGACAAAAGAGAGAGATTAACAAGTGAAGAATTCATGTCTCACCTAGCTCCACATCCTGGTCGTCAGTGAGCACCAGGATAATGTTGGGTCGAATGTTCTTTCGTTCCTGTTGTATCCGGCCTCGGAACCTCGGGGATCTGACAGTCGAACACAGGCTCCCCAGCAATTCTGAGCCCAGGACAGCCAAAACCAGAGCACAGCAAGAATACTTCATTGTATTTAGTCCAAATATTGCAAAACTGACAAGACGTCTCAGGCTCCTATTTCTGAAGGTCTGGGCAGTCAGAGAGAAAGTGAGAGACTCAAGTGAAATTCAAACACCAAAACACAGTCGCAGAAAAAGTGCTACAAGTAAGTCCAAACTGACATATAAACTGGCAGAAAAAGGGCTGCACATGTCAGAAGGAGCAAACCCTCCCAAGTGTTGGAGTTTTTTATGCACTTGATTATTTTGCAAATTCACTTTCGTCCTTTATTCTCATTCCAACTTTTCCCATTTCAATTCACTGCCATAATATATTTTCCAACGCAGAACATAAATGTAAGAGCTTTCTGACAAGAGCTAATACCTTGAATTAGGTATCTTGGTTGAATACTCAGTTTCTGTACTCAGAAGTGCTCAGAACATCTGCAGATGGGGTCCTGGAAGGGGGAGAAAAAATACAAAGGAAATATCAGTCAAGGATTTTGAAACAAATTTTTTTGATCTGAAGTAGTCTCTTGAAACAATGTATTATATATATACATAAATATGTTCTTTCTTCTTCCTTACTCCAAAGAAGAAACAACATTTCTCGATATCTTTATTTCATAATCGGTTCCATAAAAGGATGTTAAGGGTACCATCAGGGCTCGTACTGCGAATAGTACCTTAAACATCTCCACCAAAACCAATGATGGATTACAAAGCGCCAGAGTTGCCTGTGAACCCCCAGTGCACTGGAGAGGAGTATTTGCATCTGGGGAGCGGTGGGAGCCAGCGGGCGTGCTGGAGGAGCAACAGCTCACTTGCACTCGATATTGAGTACTTATCAAGCTGAATGAAACCAAAGCTGTCATTTGTCACTTGCATTATATGACTCACTACCCAAAAGAGTCCTTTCTGCTGACAAAGACTTCATAGTAAGTGATGGGAGGACCACCTTTCCCAGTCTTGGAAAAGATCCTAACTCTTCCCCATCAATCAGCAGGGGAATGGGCGCCTCCGCCGGGCAAGCCTGTCCCGGGGTCCAGCCCGCGCCTAGTCTGCTCCGCGCCTGAGCAAACAGAGCCCTCCTCGGCTGTCAGTCACCAGCCTCACTATCGTCAAGCCCTGGCGCGGTGCGCCGCTGCCAGCGCCGAGGTTTGCTTTGCTTTGCCGCAGCGGATCTAAACCTGCAAAGCAAAGTGATTGATTGTTGCTGAGGCTGGAGGTGAGCGGCTACACTGCCACATTAAAAATAAATAAATAAATAAAATCCACAGGGAAGCGCTGCAAAAATCTTTGCAAAGCTTCACAGGAGGAGACTTTTGAAAGGGTTGGAAAAGTGCCCCTCTTCCTTGAGAATGCTAACCTGTGGAAAAGCTTTTCTCCTAGACTTCAGAAAGACAGCAAAGGGCTTGTTAAACAAATCTTTCTTTTAGGTGCACGATGGAATGTGCATATGGGAATTCAGGCTGTCCTAAAATTAATTAGATAGGACCCCGTGTCATCGGCCCCTCTGACCCCACACACCTGAGGATCTGTATTTTCATGTGCAACAATAAACTGGCATCAGATAAATAAAGGTAACTAATTAACTGTAAGCATTGCACAGCTGCAGGAAAGGGCCTCCCTCCACTGCACCTCTATCTCCCTGACTTCAGTTCTGGGGGGGGGGGGGTGACATGGGCCTGTGTAAGAAGAAGATTGATTGTGTACTGTTTACTCCTGCCATACACATTATTTCGTTTTACACAAACACACACACACATCCAGCCCTATTATTTTAAACTTTATGAGCATTTTATAAATAGTTCTAATGCTTTTCACTCTGCAGCCTGCAATTACTTTGTGTGTGTGTAAAAGAGAGAGAGAGAGAAGAAACTCACAAGATACAGGTTTTTAAATAAAACTTGACTGTTTGCAGCACGGCACCCTTGACTGCATTATCTGCTAAGCAATAAACACGGCAGCTCTGACTGACCCCACGGCTCTTGGAAAGTCAATAATGTAAGGTTGTTTTTAATAACTTGGGGTTAGTTCAGTGATGGCTGGGCATGCTGAACACTGAAAGCCTGCAATTATTCTGCACTGACTGTTTAGTTTCTGTGCATTTGTTTTAAATCATGAGAAACCTGATATAAGCACGAAAGGACAGGAAGACTAAAGGAGTAAGATGTCCAGCAGTGGCTTGGACAAAGAGTGCATCAGGCTGAACAGTGAAATACAGACATTTCTTAGAGGCTTGGGCCTTTAAGTAGCAAAACTTTGCTCACCTGTCACAGCCTGCAAGAGCGTATGAAAAAAGAGAGTGGGGAATTCTTGTACCTACTGTACTAAAAACCAACCCCTGCAGACAGGAGGGACCAGAAGAAAGCAATTGGCCTCACTGCATGGAGCAAACAGTGGCACCTGGAGTTTTAAATAAGCAGCCGAGCACAAAACTGAAATCCTGACAACTAAAACGCAGATAACATTACCTGGAACTCACTCAACATTACTAGTTATTCTTTGCTTTCACATATTAACTTTACTTCTTCCTTTAGGAAAAAGAAAATTAGCTTTACTGTTTGTTACCTTGTCTGAACGACATCGAAAATCATTTCCTAACAAAGAAAAGAGAGATAAGAGTAGCCGTGATTTTCACAGATTAAGGGACTTTCCCTTTTGGCGAGTTAACTCTTTGGTGACCCAGTTACTTTCTGCTTTGAATTTTTTGTTGATCCCGTGTGTTTTCATTAATGGAAGCATGCCGAATCATTGAGGGTGTCTGAATTTTTGGTAGGTAATATGGATTTTTTTTTCTTGCTGCCTACCCTAAGTGTTTAGTGGTACATATGATGTACCACTAATTATTCCCCAGAGTCCCCGCTGGGTCTATTGGTACATATGCATCACAAATAAAAATTTTTCAAAATTTCTATTTTTCCTACCAAAAATTTAGACACCTCATACCTGTGAAAACAGTAATTTGTGGCACACCCTCATGTCTTTAGTTTCAAACAGTCACAAAGTCCCCTGCCTTGCGACAGCACACACTGTCAGTGGTACATCAGCTTCCCAATAAACACCAGAGCTGAGAACTTTCATAGTCGCTGTATGTACCACCACGCATGAAAGGGTTTAAAGGTGCAGAAGAGATCTACGTTATTTTTCTGCCACAATCTATTATTCAGAGCCCTGGTGGCACAGTGGTTAAGAGCCCAGCTACTAATCAAAAGGGCAGTAGTTCGAATCCACCAGCCGCTCCTTGGAAACCCTGTGCGGCAGTTCTACTCTGTCCTATAGGGACGTTATGAGCTGGAGTCGACTCTAAGGCAACGGGTTTGGTTTTGGGTTCTTTTAGTTTATTATTCATTCAGGGAATTCATATATATAAGTATAGAAATTGATTGGTAAAGATAATGGAAATTTCAGACAGGTTTGGCCAGCAGGAGAATCACATCTTTTATCCAATCTTCCTTCACTAAAACACACACAAAACACACCACTCTAAAAAAAAAAAAATCCACACAGACAATTCTTTATTCAAAAATGACTTTTTACAACCTGTCATCCTCTCACTGCCTGGTTTCCAGCTCCAGAAGGAAAAAGAAAGGGGTGGGGGGACAACTCCTAACAGACAAAATGCAGAGGGGACCAGCACAAGACGTGAATTGGATACTTTGTGGTGGACGACAAGTGTCCTTAGAGACATTTTGTCTTGAGAAATAGTAGAAAATGTGAGAAACATAAAAAGAAGTTTTTCTCACACATGGAAAGTGAGCTTGAAGAACGGTGTTGTACTCAAGAATCAGAAACAGAATACCAGCAGCCTTTTTTCCAAGCCATATAATGGAAACACCAGTTGCAGTTACGGTCAGCTGGTGTCAAAGTTTTCAGGCTTTTGTGTAGGGCAGTCAAGTCAACATATAAATGTGGCATTAAAAGTTTCAAGTCATTTATAAAAGCAAAAAATGACGTGGAAGCCTTCATGCCAAATGGACAGAAATTTACTTGTATTTTTACGCAAATAACACGTCTTCTACTTTGCTTGCCAACTGTGCCCTCTCAGGTAGTTTTGTAAGTGTGCTATGCTAATTTTTTTTACAGCAACATGTAAAAAAAAATTAGCATCATAGCACTTACAAAACTACCTTGCAGCGAGAAGGTGTGGTTGGCACACAAACGTAGAAGACACCAACATATCTGGGGGAGTGTGCGGTTGGCAAACATAGAATGTGCGAGCTTTCATCGTAAAAATACAGTACTTCACATAAACTTGTCCAGCAATACCTGAAACTAACTCAGAGATCTCATCACTCCACAGGTTTGAGGGGCATCTGTCTTGACCAAACCTTCCTCGGCTGGGCAGTTATTACTGAGATAAGGGGATGGTGACAATACATTGACAGTACCCTCTTTCTTCACAGCAGTGATTCGCAAAGTGTAATCTTTTTCGGGCACCCTGAGATCCTTTTTGGGGATCCACAAGGTCAAGACTATTTGATAAGAATTCTAAGACATTACTTGTTTTCTTCACTTTGTTAACATTTGCATTGATGAGACAAGTGCTTTTGTCTTAGTATGAATGAAGGGGGCACCACATGCAGTGAAAAAAAAAAAAAAGCCAGTTTCACTTAAGACAAAGCAGTAAAATTATTCATTCTACTAAATCTTGGCCTTCAGATGCACATTTTTTTTTTCTTTAAATTTCTGTTTGATGAGTGAGGAGGTGAACATAAAGCACCGCTGCTGCAAAATGGATGATGGTTGTCTTGAGGAAAAGCACCTGTGTGTGACTGTTCCGCGAGCTGAGCTAGCCACTTCCTCACGGAGTACCATTTTTACTTGACAGGATTATTTGGACTTGGACATGTGGCAGATATTTTCTCAAAATGAGTGAAATGAGCCTGTCATTTGGAGGAAAACAATCGACTGTATTTGTTGCCAATGATACAATTCTAGTTTTTGGTATAAAATGAGAATTTTGGAAAAATTATGTCTGGTACTATAAAATTATATCTGGTACTATAAGCTTCCCAATACATAAA